TGACTTCTACCTGAAAGTTATTCATGAATAAAATTAAATATAATGTAAGGTTTAATTTTATTTATAGTTGTTATTATTTTTAAATTAATTTTTTAAAACTTATTTGTTTAACGTTTTAATTTCTATCATTATAATTATTTAAAACATCAAACCTTGTTTTTTGATTCTAAAGCTAACAATATACTCATTTGTATAGAGTCATTTTTAACTATTGTTATTGTAAGTTATTTTAAACTACTTATTTAAAAACTTTTAATGATTATAAAATATCTTTAGGAAATATTTTAGTTAAATTGAGATTATAATTTAGTTTTTTCATTTAGCACTACAATTTATCAGTTTTAATTATTCACAAAATATGCTTTGTGTTTTTTTAAGTGAAACTGAAATTTATATTTAAGTAGACACTGTAATGTTATATTTAAATTAACAATTAAAGTATTTTGTCAAAATTGTTCAGAAGTTGTAGCTTTAAACTGATAATGTTTTACATACAACAAAATATTAAATCTAATAAATTAAGTATAATATGTTAAAAGTTAAAGACATAACTTCATAAGTAGAAATAAAGATATCACTTTAATATTAAAATTTAGTTTATTTATGATTACAGTTTAGGTTTGATATCTATTTAACTTTATTAACCAAGTTATAATCATTATTAGAAAGATACTATAATTTATCACATTTAACTATTTACAAAATATTCTTTAGGTTGTTTACGTTAAACTAAAATTTATATTTAAGTTGACCATGTAATTTATATTAAAATTACTAATTTAAGTAGTTTATACAAACTGTTCAAAAGTTGTAGTTTTAAAATGATAATGGTTTATATCCAACAATATGTTAAAACTTATAAATTAAGTATAATATGTTAAAAGTTAAATAACATAACTTTATAAGTAGAACTAAAGATATTCTTTTAATATTGAAATTTAGTTTATATATGATTACACTTTAGGTTTGATATTTGTTTCACCTAATTAACAAACTTATAATCATTATTATAAAGAAATTGAAAAGTCATGGGAGTTTCAAATGAATGTGGTGAAAGAAAAAATGCATCGGAGTTTCAATTGAATCTGGTGAAAGGAAAAATGCTTCCTTTATAAGTATACTAGACGAATTCCCGCACGTTGCGCAACGAAGATTAAAAATATATTATTAAAATATTGAAAAATATATGTTTAAAGTGGTTATGTTATTGGTATTAACTTTGAGGTAATATTTATTATTTTGAACATTAATATTCATTGACATCAACCCACATTCCTCATTAATAGAATTAAATATAATTATCTATTTAGTATTATTTTTAACAATTATTATTATTGGTTAATTATATTTTTACTTACGCGATCATTTTCTAATTTCAATAATGATGTTCATTTAACATATAATTTATTTATAGCTAAATGTAATTTATAATTTGATGTTATTATCATTTAAAATTGTTATTCATTAATTTTAAACCACTTATTATTAATAATAAGTTAAAAAAGACTTTTAAGAAACACTTAATATTATTATTAAAATGTGGAACATACACTAAATAATAAAGTGATAAGATATCCATGTAATTTGATTTTATTATTTATAATTATTGCTTATTAATTTTAAAACCACTTGTTATTATTAATAAGTGAAAGAAACTTTTAAAAATCACTTATTATTATAATTAAAATGTTAAACATATACTAAAATATAAAGTGATAAGATAGACAATTTGCATTTTAAAAAAAGGCTTACATGGATAATATGGATAATATGACGTATCAATGATTTTTAATTAATTATTGTTTTGAAGCAACATGAACATACGAACATGTATACAATAGTTAATTAAATATTATATATATCGCATTCCCTAACATATGATCAATAACATTAATCTAATCTAATTTACATTAAAATTTCAACTACAACATATAATGATATTCTTAAAACAATACTTAGATCAAGAAAATACAAAAAAAAAAAAAAAATTAGTATAGAACAAACTTACAAATTAAAAACTTCAACATAACAATATGGCTCGAAAAATTGTTCAAAGCCCTCAAACCAACATAAAAAACTTTAAACTTGTTTTCTTTATTAATTTTGTATGTGAATTGTATTTGTGTGTCTACTCAAAAAGATTAATTTTGTATGTGAATTGTATTTGTGTATCTACTCAAAAAGATTGACATTTTATAGTAGAGTATCCATAAATTGTTTATTAAATATATTATATAAGTTATAAAACCTTTGAATTTTTAATCATTATTAAGAGACTTTTGAATAATATTCATTAAAATAGGAGGTTTCAAATGCATGAGGTGTTTGAAAATTTTTATGGGGGTTTCAAATGCATGAGGTTCAAGGAAAATGTTAGCTTTATACGTATACATGATGATAAAGATAAAGATAAAGATAAATATAATGATAATGATATATATATATATATATATATATATATATATATATATATATATATATATATAGCAAGAGTACAAAATTATTATTATTATTATTATTATTATTATTATTATTATTATTATTATTATTATTAAATGTTAATTTGTGAATAACTATTGGATTCTTCATTTCTCTCGTAATTCTTCACCGTTAGTAAGCATTATAATAAATATTATTATGAGTGTAGTTATATACCACTTTATAGCTCACCTTTTATCTTTTTTTGTTTAGTATAAATAGTGAGTAATATATATTGTAATGTTGGTTATTTTTACCACAAGTGATGAAATAAAGTTCTTACAATCTTATTTCCTAATTTGTTCTTTAACTAGCTTCATATTTTATAACACGTTATTAGCATGTCTCTACCATAAAGCTCTAACTCCTTATGGTTTTTGTCATTTTTCAGGTATGTATTTTTTTTATAAGTTCACATATATAATGCTTACAACTTATTTTATGGAATTTCTTAACTGACAATTCCTTAACATAGAAGTCTTTATTTTGATTAATATTTTAAGTATGGAAAACCCTGCTACAAAAAAAATATATAATGAATTAATATCATGTCTTCTTATGGCTGAATAAAACAATAAACTTTTGATGAAAAATCATCAATCATTCCCAACCCATTCTTGTCCATTCGCTAAAATGAACGTAAGTTCAAATAATCATAATAGTTATAGGTCTAACCAAGGTTTTGGATGTCATCATAATTATGGTAACAACAATAACAAGATTGCAAATAACCACTAGAAGTTGGAAAATAACAAAAACACACATCCTAATGATAAAAGTGGTCACGATAAAAATAAAGTTGAAAATATTTATCACCGATGTGGAATGACCGGTCATTGGTCTCGTACATGCTGCTCTCAAATCATTTTGTTGATCTTTATCAAGCTTATATAAAATATAATGAAAAAAAAAAACTATATTGAAACAAATTTTATTCAAATTAATTTTCACGAAGATCAACCATAAATAATATATTTGAATGTTGTCGTTTTTCTTGTTTACCTAGAAGGGATAAGTGGTGTTATGGATGGTGATGGAAGAATAATTTCTAGTATTGTTTCATGTCATTTCTTATGTTTTTATGTCATAGTCGTTTCATGAAAAATGATGTCATCACAATCTTCTCAAAGAAATAAAATATGGCTTTATTTTTGTAAGTCAAATGATTCTTATGCTTTTTTTTAATTATTAAAGAGAAATATGGATATTTGCAAGAGAAATCGGAGAGATATATATTTCCACTACTATAAAAACAACATTTTACGACACACAATGTGTTTCGTAAAACGCTCAGACAACACACAAATGTATGTCAGGGAAGGCCTTGTCATAACGAAAGACGACACGCTTTTGCGTGTCATCTATTTACGACATGAATTTACAACGCGCAATTACGACAAGCATTTATGACGCGCATGTATGACATGCATTTGTTAAGGAAGGCCCTGTCATAAAGGAAGATGACATGTATTTGTGTGTCGTAACATTACGACGCGCGCTTAGGAAACACATTACGTATCATGCAAGCCTCTGTCATAAATGAAGATGACACGTATTTACATGTCATAAACTTCAGCAACCATTCACGATATACATTTACGACGCGTCTTTGTGATACTCTTTTACGCATAATACAAAAACATGGAAACAAATATATACCAAAACAATCAATTTCATCCAATAACATCATGTCAAAAATTGTAATACATTGGTATTAATGGGATCTGATTGTACATTATTATTAAGAGGTTTTCCCTAACTATATAACTTAATACTACATTGCTATTAAGGAACACCTTCTTGTTTCTACTTCTTATTGTTATGCTTCTGTTTCCACATGATACCTGTTTTCTTCATCAACACATTAGTATTCAGAAAGGCTTCAAGCATCATCAATCTATGTTATAAAATATTAAAATTTAATACACATGTAGTGAAATACTTTTTTCCAAGAATCCAGACTTCAATATAGCCCATACCTATATAAAATATTAAAACAAGAAGCATGTAAGATTTTTCATCTTTTTATACACCTCCAATCCACCGTAAAATGTAAATACACCAAAAATAATTAAATAAATATAAAAACATGGTTGAGGATTCATGATGAAATATTTGTTCATCTATTATCTAAGAGAAAGAGTAACAGAAGTTAAAAGGGACCTTTTTTCAATATATACGGATCTATTAGAGCAGTTAGCAGCCTCTGCTACTCTTAGAAATGGGCTTTTACTTTGGTCAGCTTGAAAAGGCCAAAAAGCATGCTTCATGTCTCTCAAAATCTACATAAAAGATTAATAACTTATATGAATAATAGATACAGTATGGCTGACTTCCCAAACCTACAAAAAAACTATTGTACTAATACTCTAATATGCAATAAATGAAAAATATATTTACAAATTTTCTTCTACTTAACCAATATGATAATAAGTTAAAAATAGCTGTGAAAAATTCAGAGTTCCATACACTACATTATACCATTAATATATGTGGTTAATAACATTAGAAAGAACTGAAAATTAATAGATGAACCTACAAGTGCATATCTCAACAAAAAAGACAGAAGCCACATTCAGTAACATTGATTCAGTTGTCTTGATATGTTGATGCTCAGACTCTGTACTTCTCTGTTTGAGATAGCCTTTAGGAGAAACATAAGAATCATTTGGTGAAGATATTTCAACATCACAATTCACAAGACCCCACATATGAAGCATCTTCAAGATCTAAGAATATATCGATGAAAGCATACACATTGACCCCACACGATGAGTCAAAACCTAATCACAGAACAATACTTTAGTCTTCCTATAGATATAAATAGTAAATTTTTTGTACAAATCTTCTTATTGAATATAATCACTCTAAAAAAGTATCACATGTTATTAACATATAAAAAGTAATCTCCATGAATGAAAGTATGTTGCTTTTTCTTGCATTGAACAATTTTTATCAAGTTGTATAAGCTGAAAAATGAAAGTACCAAGAACTGGTAAATGAACTTGCATGTGCCCACTAAATTAGAAGAGTAACTAAATGCCAATTGGAACTTCCATGTGTCTCCTTCAACTTTTAGTGATTCCAAGAACTGGTTTGTTCTTTGTAATTTCCCAAGTTTCATTCCCCTGCCTTTAGCTGGAGCAACAACTGAAGCAGTTGGACGACCTGAAAAGGGTAAAAATGTAAATAACCAAAAATAAATTTTATATCGGATTGGTTGATATGAACAATTGCCAACCTTTAGATTTGCTTGAGAGGGAGTCCACATCAGAGGTTAATCCAAATCCAGATCCACTTCCAAATGTATTACCACTTGAAATGCCCATATCATTGCTAAATGAATTATCCATTCTTCAAATTAAACCCATTCACCCCGTTGAACTCATGGATTGAAGAGATGAATAGCAACCCTTTTCCAGTTTTCCCTTCTCTATCTGAAGAAATAAGGCAAAATTGTTGTAGAAGAGATACAAAAGGAAGGGTAAAAAGATCAAATGCATGCTTGCAAATGCCTTCTTCATCTAAAGAGGCAGAAAACTCAGGGACCTATGCAAAGTCAAGGAAGATTTTGTAGCCCTTTTAAACAAGATAGTAAGATTTTTACATGTAAAACAAAAAAGAAAACTATAACTGAAAGGATACAACTTTAGAGAGAAGCCTCAGTGTATCGAGATCCTCAAGAATATTGCTTTGCTTGCTTGTAACAAGCAACAGATATATACGCTCCGTTAGCTGATACACATAGCGTACATTTTCAATCTCAACATAAGTGTGTTTCTTTCCCACATCTAATCAATGTAGGAAAAGTTGCAAGAAGTCCCTCAATTCTTATTCTAGACATGTCGACAAACTACCTTGAAACAAGAGCTGTAGAAGGATTTTATGATTATTAGTTAACAAAAATGCTTACAGTATATTAAACACGACATAAATAACAAAGATAATAATGCCAAATAATAGGAATAACAAGATGGTGAAATAATCTCTCAAGAAAATAAATTTTATGGTGCCAATTGAAAAACACACAAACAATATTGAGCTTTTAGTGGAGGTTAACGAAACCTGATGATGCGCCCCTCAGAGCGGGCCAGGAACAAGTGAACCCCCGACGAGGAGTTCCCAACGAAGCTTGGGTTGGCAACTCAGAGGCTATACCAACCCACGACCCCCGCGAGGCGACCGCATGGGAAGTCCTCCCTTGTCAACGGTTGTCCTCAGCTACAGTCCAAAAATAACGGCTCCAAACGACAAAGAGCATGGGCAGAGCATTATTGCCTGGACGAATCGTTGGACCAGACATGAATAGAGAGCCTGGTCCTCCAATAAGGACGACGAATCCTGTCAGGGCCGCAGTCCTTGTCCCTCGTACGGATCAAGGAAAATCCTCTGTATAAAAGGTCAGTCACTTTGCCTTGAGAGGTAAGCTATATTGCCCCGATCATTCACCTTCTCACTCCAGATACATCCCACTAACTTGACCGTCAGAGCGTCTTTCTGGGACCTCCTCCCAGAGAGCGGCTGAGGTTTCTTCTTTGTGACCTTTCAGGTTCTATTCTGACGACCATCTCTCAGCAACTAAGGTGGTTTAGAGTCAGGTTGCATCATTTGGCGCCATCCATTTATGTGACAATAGATACGTAAACCCCCTTTTTTCTTTCTCTCTCTCAAGTTAACCACGCATGATGAAGAAGACAACGGGTGAGCCATCGGAACCACCGCATAGCCCGATACACCCGATGGCGTCGTTGGTAGCAACCAACACTCCAGCTTCTCCACCATCTCTTGAAGTAGCGCCACTTTCCGGTGGCCCGCCAACATCTCTTGAAGCAGCACCATTATCTGATGGCCTACCACTGTGTTTTGAGTCAACACCATCATCTGGTGGCCTGCCACCACCTCTTGATCCAACACCATCATTCGAAGGTTCGCCACCATACCCCGCGACGGCACCTCCACCAGATGACCCGTCACCCTCCATTGCAACAATCATGCAGTTGGTCTTAACCCAGACTCAAACGCCACCATCCACCCTGACTCATGTCAGCTCCCCATAATTCCCAAATAGCGATGTGCCTAACCAATACATTGTACACCCTTTGCTATTATTTTTCCCTAACGCCTCCAGTCTTAGCAATCCTCAAACAACACCCATAATGCCTCTCGTGAGCAGTTTACATGAAAACAACACTATAACTGGCTCAAATATTATACCACAACCATAGAACCACCGTCATTGATGGCGGGCACTGCGTCAACATCACTACTCATGCTTTACTAGCAGATACCCATAGCCCACCAATAGATACCCATGGCCCAAAAACAAATACCCATGGCCTGAAAACAAATACCCATGGCCTACCAGCAGGTACCCATGACCCAAAAGCAAATACCCATGGCCCAACAACAAATATCTATAGCACAACAACAAATACCCATGACTCACACCTTCCGTACTCCATTTCAACCATCAAACTTCTACAGCTTAGTAACGCCAGACCTTACAACCTATAACAACATGTTGGTACAACTCTTTTTAGCAATACAACAGCCAGGGTATCCCTTTACCTAGCGAACCCCAAACCAAGATTGCCTATCACGAAGTGTCACATCACCATTCGTCAAAGAGCTCATGGAATATGTAATCCCTAACACCGCCAAACTAACCCACCTAAAGACATATGATGGCACTACTGACCAGATAGCCGCATCGATACATACGAATGAACCATGATGTCCCTCAAGCTAGACGAATGGTTCTAATGCACATACTTCTCGACTACCTTAGATCAGAGTGTTGACTTTGACCAAGGGTAAAATGGTCATTTACCCTATGAAGAGTTATTAGTTTTTGATTAAGTGTTATTATGGAATTTATAGCCGGAGAGTCGCCGGAGCAGCAGACAGGGATTCCTCACTCAGGTTTTTAGTAGTCAGTCATATGAGGTGAGTTTTCCTTCAGTAGAAACGGGTCTAAGGCACTAAGGCCGGCCCGTAGTATGATATGTTAGTAGTCGAGCATGGGTGGGGCCCGTATATCACAATTTAGTTTGATTATGGATATATGCCTGACTGATAGAACTAGTTATACATGTTGTCTGTGTGATACCTATATGTTTGTTTTGTAGCTGAGTGTGGGCGGGGCCTGTATCTCATAGTAGCCGAGTGTGGGCGGGGCCCATATCTCATAGTAGCCGAGTGTGGGCGGGGCTCGTATCTCATAGTATCCGAGTGTGGGTGGGGCCCGTATCTCGAAGTAGCTGAGTGTGGGTGGGGCCCGTATCTCAGAGTCAGCGGAGTGTGGGCGGGGCCTATATCTCCATGAGTATGGGTGGGGCCCGTATCTCTTAGTTGCATGGTATATGTGTATGGTATGTGGTAGTTTGGGGGAGCTCACTAAGCTTCATGCTTACGATTTTTAGTTTTGGTTTCAGGTATTTCCACTAGCAAAGGGAATGACTCAGGATGATCGCATAGCACACACCGTAGTCTTTAGCTTGAGAGTTTCACTCTGAGATTTTTATATGAGATGTGACAGATATTATGAGACTTTATGATACATGATTCACGATTTTATTTATGATATTGGATGATTTATGGTTTTAATAATGATTTGAAAATGAAATTTTTGGACCGTATTTTTAGGGATGTTTCACTTAGGATATGTCTCGTATGGGATTGGGCCCAATTTGGAAAATTCGGCCATTAGTGGGCTTCCATGGATTTTGTGGTTTTGGATCTTGTTGGATTTAGGGCTTGGGCCTTAGTTACGAATCTTATTAAGTCAGGGGTAAAATGGTCATTTTACCCTAAGTATGGATTATGGATTATGGTTTGGAACCTAATTTCTAATTGGGTGATACTTTTGTATTGTTAGCTCGAGGAGTTGTCAGGGAAGCAACTAAGGATTTCTTTTAGTGAGCTTCGACATTCGAGGTGAGTATCCTCACTATTGTATGGGTCGAAGGCACCACTGTTGTATGGGTCGAAGGCACCAATGTTGGCCCATTTGGTTTATGTATTATAGGAAGACCCAGGGGTTAGCCCTTGACATTATGTATGAAAGACTAGGAGGCGGATCCTGGCACATTGTATGCAAGACCAGATACTGAACTCTACCAAGTATATAGTTAAGTAGTGTAGTTTGTATGCTAGTTTCCTTTGTGATGCTTGCATGGAAGACCAGGAGGTGGCTCTTGGCACTTTTTTTGTAAGACCCAAGGTTGTGGCCCCCGACTTGGCAAGAAATACCATGAGGTGGCTCGTGGCATAGTGGCAAGACTATGGTTGGCACATAATACACTTATTTATTGTGGTATATGAATGATATGTATGGCTCATGGTTATGTATGACATGTATGGATCGTTGGATAGGTATGGTATGTGGTATGCAAAGAACTCAATAAGCTTTGTGCTTACAGTTTTCAATTTATATTTCAGGTAGTCCAGTTTTCAAATGAAAGAGCTCGGGATGATCACAACGCATACACCTATGTTTTCGACAATATGTGATCTTTCGGATTGGACTCTGATAATTGTGTTAATTGAAATGATTTTCAATGTTTAGAACAAAGTTACAATAGTGTTTTGATTATAATAAAAATGATTTTTTACCTTGGATTTCTAGGGCTATTACACCATAAGAAGCTTTAAATCTCAACAACTACTTAATAAAAGCATGAGACTCCTAAACTCCATAAAATTGGCACCTTTATGCCAAAGGAATCGATGAAGACCTTAGATCTGAAAAAATAAGCCTTTGGGATGTCCGAATCCCAACATCCACCCAAACTATGGCTAAAAACATAACAATCTAACCCAAAAAGAGATCTAAGCATCCAGCAAGCAATATGAGAATTTGATACCTCAAAAGCTTGGCAAATAAGGTGGTGGTTCTAGATCTAAGACCTCCTCTACAGGCTAAGAAACTTCTAGCTTCTTCAACTCCTTCAAAAAGCACAAAATGAACATCGAAATATCTCCAAAAGTTCACACACTCAACAATGGAAACTAAGACTCGATTTTAGGGTTTCTGGAGAGAAGAGGCTGATAGGGAGGTTAGCACTTGGGACTTAATGACATTATATAGGGCTTGAACCAAAAAAAATTAAGGTTTTGAGTCTGACCACGTGCACTGTGCATACCACTTTGTACGTTGCATGTGCGTGCATGCCTCCGCGTTCCTTTTTGTTCCATTACGCCCCGTGTACACCAGGTTTACGCCCAGCGTATGGCCTAGACCAACTCCACTCATAAAGGCCCAATTTCACTAATCCCAACACAACTGTTGGGTCTAAAATTATTGTTTATACTTTGCTTTTCTAGGCAATTGTAATTGTTAGAACAAAGTTCTTTCAGGATCATATGATTCTAAGCAAAATAATAATAATAAGAACGTAAATAAGAACACAAGTATTGCGATGAAGTTGTCGAATGATTAATGCAAAATACCCCAGAAGAGCTCGATTAAGAACTACAATCTGTAGAGGTATGATTAGGGTTACAAGAATCAACGTGAATGAATAATCTATTATATACGCATACATGCATGCATATATTTATAATAAAACCCTAACAACTTATCTAGATAAAGGAAACTATTCTAGATAACTACGAATGGATAAGCCCAATCTGTTTACAAAACAAATAATCCAAAACGAAACACATAAAATATTCAACAATCTCCCCCTTTGCGTCTTTGGAGCAGAATCTCTATTCTCTTTTAACACCAGTGGTATTCTTCACCGTTTCAAATATCCTCGGTATAATGGCCAAAACATGTTGTCTAAACGTTATATACCACCGAAGCATATCTGTAAAAATTTTCTTGTCTGATGCTGAGTTCTGCTTGCATCGATGAATGATGTTGATGATATGCTCTAAACAATCTGTTGAAAACAGATGCTTGTCTACCAATGCAAACAGAAACTTAAGCCTATCACCCTTAGTGAACATGACAGTCAAGTTAGTTGAATTAATCTGCCCCAACTTCATTTTATTTACATCACCAGGCTTAGATGTTGGCTTGACTGTCGGCTTTTTATTCATCACCCTTGCAATCTCCTGATCCATTGTGGCAAGCTTATGGATATAGGAGGCCAACATCCTTTTAAGATGTTTCAAAATCGGCTCATACTCTCCTTGATTTGAGAGCAGAATGTTGTATAGCAAGATCCAATCATGAGGATTAAGATTGGGAAGATCTGCCAGAGATATGAAATATTCCGTGTTTGCAGTACCACGGTTAATCTTGAAATGAACATTCATAAACCTCCCGGCAAGTGATGAGTTCAGTACCTTGACTCTTGTAATCTTCTGTGCACTCCAAGTCAAGTACTGCGGTTGACCGTTCTTCAAGTAAAAATCAACTAACTCCCTGTCAACCTTTAAGTTTGGAAAAGGAACCTCAACAGTGACCTCAAAGCAATGATAAGTTAATGCTCTTTTGGTAATTGGCATGTCGAACTGCGAGTCCTTTGAGTTTTCACATTCGAAAGAAGCAATCGGTTCCAACCAATATATGGAAGGAAACTCAATCGCTTGAGTGATAAGAGTATCTCTATCCCATTCTGGAAACAAAGTCTTCTTACACTGTAAAATATCCTCTGCCTCTTTAGTCTGTTTCTCCTTCTCTTTAGCCTCCCTTGCTACTTTCATAGTCTCATCAAGCTCTCTGTCTCTTTTCTTCCGCTTGAGAGCTTCGACAATCGTCTCTTCAGGATCAGAGTCACTGTTATCTATGATTTGCTTTCCAGAACCCGAAGCTACATTAACCTTCGGTTCTGTCTTGACTTTGCTCTCCTCTCCCCCTTGTGTCGGATGAAAGACTTTCTCCGAGACACCCTTCATTTCACTGAGTAGAGAAATGGTAGGAAGAAGTTTAGTTTGGAGATGCTTCCGAATAGTTAAAGTCAGAATTGGATCATGGGCTTCGAGAAGAGCAGTCAACATATTCTTCACATCACCAGCACAACTTTTAAAAACTGCCCTTTG